TATATATTAAATTTATATACATAAAGAAATTTAATTTAAAATTATTAAGATTAAGATTAACATGTGTGGTTGTTGATATGTATGGTTATTAGTTGATATGTTAAAATACTTTGTCAAATTGAAATTCAAATTAGGTAATTAAATGATAGACGACCGTAGTTGGATAGATCATCGTGTAAATGATAGTGGTTTTATTACTGATGAATTTAAAGAAGGGGTGCAATTTTTTGTGAGATTTGCATTTTCAAGACCGAAAGCAAAATCAAAGATTAAGTGTCCTTGTTCGAAATGTAAATGTAGAAAATGGGGAAATCTTGAGGTTGTCTCTGTGCATTTGTGTAAGCATGGGTTTATGAATAACTATTATACATGATATGTTCATGGAGAGACATCCGACAATACAATAAGAAACTTTGAAAGGGAATCTGCTAATATGGAGTTTGTTAGAAATGAGGTAGATGCATTGTACCAAGAAATGGTAGTTGATGCAATGGGTGCACAGTCTGAATACAATGAGGGGCCAATGGTTGAGGAGCCAAATAGTAAGGCAAGAGAATTTTATGATCTCTTGCATGCTGCAGAAGTTCATATAGGTGCTAGGGGATAGGATGTTACAGTACTTTCATGGATAGCAGAAATGCTAAAATTAAAACTCTTTATAATATGAGTGCTGCTAATTGGGAGATGGCACTGTCATTGAGTCAAAAGTTGTTGAGTCTAGAGGACCAAGAAAAGGTGCCAAAGGATTTCTACATTGCCAAAAAATGATAAATGTGCTTGGACTTTGGTACAAGAAAATTGATATTTGTGTCAATGATTGCTCCTTGTACTATGATGAGCAAAGTAAGAATTTAACTGCTTGTCCAGTGTGGAGAATCTCGTTATGAGCTGAGGAATATGTCTGCTAAAAGGCAGAAAGATGTTCCAAGGAAATCTTTGTGGTACCTTCCAATTACCCCAAGATTACAACGATTATACATGTCTAGGAAAACAGCAACGCACATGACATGGCATTTGAAATGTCGTGAGGATGTGGATGAAGTTATTTATCCTGCAAGTAGTGAGGCATGGAAACACTTTGGTGAAACCCACCCAACATTTGCTGAGGAACCTAGAAATGTTAGACTTGGCCTCTGTACAGATGGTTTCAATCCATTTGGTTGCTCTGCAACAGCTTACTCTTGTTGGCCTATTTTTCTTACAATGTACAACCTTCCTCCTGAATTGTGTATGAAGTTAGAGCATATATTTCTTGCCATGATAATTGCTAGACCTAAAAGTCCAAGAAAAAACATTGATGTCATGCTTAGGCAATTAATTGATGAACTTAAGGAATTGTGGACAAATGAGGTTAAAACTTTTGATAGTTTCAGGCAACAGAATTTTATCATGAAAGTTGCATTGCTATTAACTATAAGTGATTTTCCAGGTTATGGCATGTTATCTGGATGGAGCATACATGGAAAGTTGTCATGCCCTTATTGCATGAAGAACACTAAGGCTTTTCAACTTCAATATGGGAGGAAAACATCATTTTTTAATTGTCATCGTCAATTTTTACCTCTTAAACATCCA